TTGTAATCATGATTATAAAATAATTACTATAATTACTATAATTTTAAGAGAGAGATTTGAATATATTAATGTCGAGACAATCCCAAAAAGAGAAAAACCATATCTTGAAATTCCAACATTCAAAAATCAATTTAAGACAATCCAAACAAGAATGTGATTTTGAGTTGTTTAATGTTCTCTGAAGATGTATCTAGTCTTAAGTTATGCAAATTTTTAGTTTTAAATTAAAATATTCTCAATCGACGGGGAAAAATAAGAAGAAAAAAAAATTAACACTAGATATACCTATAACAGACACATGTGTTACGGCTGGTAGTAGATAGTTTTAGTGAAACTTGGTGATATGGTGTCACGACCCAAAATTTCACCACAGGCGTCGAGATAACACTTAGTCTCTAAGACTAGATAAGCCGATTACAACTACAATTTAAGCCTTAAAAAAAATATACAATTATAACAACCTCCCAAGACTGGTAATACAGAGTCACGAACTCTAACTGAATACATGCAATGATCTCAAGGATCGAATATACAATACTGTTCGAATAAGAGTTGATAGTACAATATAATGGAAAGACTCCAAGGGACTGCGACGACCAAGCAGTCTTACCTTGAAGCCTTGCGATCACACTCTAATCTCTGTCCGAATCTGATATCTCCAATACCTAGCTCTGCACAAAAATATGCAGAAGTGTAATATGAGTACACCACAGTCGGTACCCAGTAAGTATCAAGACTAACCTCGGTGAAGTAGTGACGAGGTACAATCAAGACACTCACTAGTCAAATAACCTTTGCATTATAGCATATAAAAATAATAGAAAACAAATAGCAGTGATGGCAACAATAATCAACTTGTGAAATAAACAGCAAGGCAACAGGAACACCATAAATATTGCTCAAACGAATAATAAACACAAGTACATCCAATTAATCAAGTCCTTCAAAATATACATCTTTTATCTATAAGTTTTTCAAATAAAAATCTTTAGAATGTAATCCGTACAATTAAATATTTCCCGAATATACTTCCTTCAAATAAATATCTTACGAATATAATTCTTTCAAATACATATCTTTCAAATATAATTCTTTCAAGTAAAAGTCACCATGTGACACCTCACTTAACTTTCATAGTGTGAGAAATATATTCAACATATCACATCGAATGACACGGTAATACTTTCTTGCACTTGTCTCATTCTCACCCGATATATATATATATATATATATATATATATATATATATATANGTACCAACTAAGTGGGAAAAATACCAATAACAATAAAAGAAATAAAGTGAGAGGCACACAGGAAGCAACAACGACTATAAGTCACATAGAAAATATAGGTGCACAATAACAACTCACGATAAAGGCATGAATGTATACACAACGAAAAGTTATCACAATATAATGTATGTCTCTTGTCCTCGCCTGTTCGTGCCATGAACATATGATAATATAAAAATAATGGCATGGCATCACCCTTCGTGCTTTTACTCTCTTCCTCACATGATAATATAAATGAAATGGCACAGCATTATCCTTCGTGCATATTAAGAATGGCACGACATCACCCCTCGTGCTTTACACTCTCAAATGGTACGACATCACCCTTCGTGCTTTACACTCTCAAATGGTAGGGCATCACCCTTCGTGCTTTACACTCTCACATGGCACGACATCATCCTTCGTGCTTTATACTCTCCCTTACCAAGCACATGTATATCATTAACAAGCAAGGTATGAAGCATAAATAACATCAAGGAGAGTGTTTAAACGATAACACAATACAATAATTCATATCAGAATTTGCCCACCTGCCACAACCAACTCCAAAGATACAACAAAAATCAATTAATTTCAAAGCAAATAGCCCAAGGCTCCACACAACGTATGTAAAACCTCAAAAATAACAACAGATATGGAAAAGTAACTCAGCATAGGATAACACCTTCTTTAATCCAAATTTTTGATAAATATATTAACGTCTCTTTTTAAGCTTATTTAATTAATTATTCACAGATAAAAAATCCATAATGAAATTAATTCCAAAAAATATCAAATCAACAAACACATGGAATTCACATAAAATCCAAGTGGTAATCACCCCAAATTATCATATAAAATACAAACTCGACAAACAAGGAACGAGATATGACAAATAAAAGATTTACTATGTTCCAATAATTTTTCAATTTAATATATAAGGGTGTCTACAAATTTTAATCGGTATAAATTGCACATATAAACCAATTACGTACTCGTCACCTCGCGTACATGGTTTTCAATCACACAATTCCAAATAAGACTCAATGTCGAAGGGGTAATTCCCCCACTCAAGGTTAGGCAAGATACTTACCTTTTTGAAGTTATACCGATATTCCAAAATAGCCTTCTTTCTTGAATTGACTTTCGGATAGCTCAAATCTATCCAAATTGATTGTATAACTTCATTAAAATTTATCAGAAATAATTCCGGAAAATAAAACGTCAACTTGGGTCCCGCCTCTCGAAACCCGACAAATTTTTTACGAAATTCGAACACCCATTTTGATACGAGTTCAACCATATCAAATTTACCAAATTCTTATAACGAATCGACCTCTAAATCTTAAATTTTTGTTTTTGAAAGATTTTGCAAAAATTCCATTTTCTTCCAATTGATTCACTAATAAAAGATGAAAATAATCATGGAATCATGAAATATAATGAAAACCGAGTAGGAAACACTTACCCCAATCCATTTGGTGAAAATCCTCTCAAAAATCGCCCAAATCTGAGTTCCCTAGCTCCAAAAATGTTAAAATGATCAAAATAATGAAACTGCTCAATAAAAACCCATTTTCCGTCACTAAAAGTTCATTTTCCTCCACTAAAAGTCCATTTCTCGTCACTAAAAGTCCGCACCAGAACCTACTTGCACCAGCAATTTAATATTTCACTAAAAAGGCTCTAACTCCATCATACAAACTCGAAATTCGACGATTCTTGTTCCTATGAGTCACAAATAATAATACAAACCTAATCGTTCAATCAAAACTCAATTTGAAGATTATTTGCTCAATACGATATAAATTTTGCTCGTTAAACATTTAACTCATATTTCGCGCTAAACACCCAATCGCGACTTGATGAAATTAGACCGAACATTCCAGATCATTCTTATAATTCATTATTAAACTCTCGGAAGTCTTGAAATTGAATTTCGATCTCTAGAAATAAAAATTGACCTTTGAATCATTACATGCTTATGCTCAAAACACCAAACTCTTCCAAACACTCTTCCCTGACAGCCTATAGTATATCAACCATAACCTTTTGTACCCAACTCCAACTACCAAATAGTTTGAATTTATGAAAATTAGATACAAAGGGCTACAACTTTTTATTTTGTATCATCACCAAATTCCTTATAGATTACGAGATATAAGCTTCCAAAGTCAACCATGTGCAGCAGAATTTTCTGCGATGCACACTGCCAGGCAAAACAACTACAGTACTAGGCTTCAGTTACTCGATCATAACTTTCTGTACAAATATCTAAAAAAATTAATGGTTTACATTTCTAGAAACTATACTCAAAGCGCCACAACTTTTATTTTTGGATCATCTCCAAATTTCTTACAGATTACGAGATATAAGCTTCCAAAGTCAGCCATGTGCAACAGAAATTTCTACGATGTACACTACTGTAGCAAAAAACCAGCAGTTAAAAATGGCCTAGAATTGGTCCGAAATCACTCAGAAACTCACCCGAGCCCCTCGGGACCCCGTCTGAACATATCAACAAGTCTCAAAACATATTATGGACTAAGGCGAGGCCTCAAATCATATCAAACAACACCGAAACAGTGAATCGCACCTCGAATCGAACTTATGAGTTTATGAAAATTTCCAAATTCTATATCTTGTGTCAAAATGTATCAAATCAATCCGAAATGACTTCAAATTTTGCATGCAAGTCATAAATAACATAATGGAGTTGTTCCTATTTTAGGACTATGTATCGCAGCCCACAGAGTCTCCATCGTACTATTTATTTTATCTTGTCTTATTTACATTCCAGACAGATGTTGTATTATTGTTGTACTCCTTAGTAAATGCTCGTGCACTTGTAGCATCGGGTTTTGAGGATATTCTAGTTGATGCTTACGGATTTTTATATAATTATCACCTTTTATATTATGCAATACTAATTATGTATGTACCCGTAAATTTTAAAGGTGTAAATTTCCTTACTTAATAATAATTTATAATTTCAAAAGTAATAAAATGAACAATTTACGTGATAGTTCACTGTTGGCTTGCCTAACGGCGACGTTGGGCGCCTTCACGACGTATAGTGTGTTTTGGGTCGTGACATTAATATTTTGCTAGCAATAAAGAAATTAAAAAATTGCCTTCTTTTAGCTACCTCACATTGTTTGTATCTTCTACAATAAACTTTAAAATGGCACAAAGCACAAAAGGAATGAACTTGAAAATAACGTTTCTTAATAAAATTCTAGAAAGGCTTTTAAGTCTTCATAAGTTATGTGTTGTTGCTAAACGTAAAGAGAAAGCATGATAACTTGTGAATTATGAAAGCGGAACTATATTTAAGTTGAATATAAGATAAATGATAGAGGATTTCTACGAGGCAGAGTTTCTTCCTTTATTAAGTCAGCTATATAGGATTAACATCCATTAAAGGAGCTTAAGCTTTTATTTATCAATCAAACATAATTTTAAATATATTGTTTATATGATTTATAAAAAGTTTTACCCATCAAGATGGGTTACACGCGCAAAATACGTATCCTAAGACTAGTACATATTAAAAAAATGCACAAAAAATTTGAAACACCTAACAAGTAATCAAATATTTAAAATAATGTCATTTTTTAAAGAGGGAAAGACAAAATAAGTAAGGAAAAAAGAGAAGCAAAGGAAAGAGTGACGGCGCATGAATGCACAATAAGAAACGTGGAGTGGCATGTGGAGAACCGAAAATTATCTTTAGTGGGATTTAGTGTGCGCCTATATGTCATTGCCGATCCTTTTATGCATTTTCTATTGTCCATTGATATTTTTCTTCCTATGAGTCCTCCGCCTCCATTCTGTCTCTGCTTGCGGAGTTGCCGCCACTCCAAAACCCTAGCCACCTTCATTTCTCGGCGGTGCGCTCCAAGTTGTGCTAGTTTTCTGGTCAACATAAAGGTAATTTGATTGTTCATTTTTCAGAGAGACATTAAACTAAGTTCTCTGTTTATCTGCTTAATCTCGAAGAACATAAGAATCTTCAATGTTTTGTTCATGTTCTTCTACTTGTCTGGTTGTAGATGACAACAATGGAAAAGGATCATATTTTGGTTGCATGCTTCATATGATTAGAATTTTTCTTATAACCGTAGTGTCCGGGTCAGGAATTACCACCAGTACAGTACGGTTAAACTCTGCCCGTCAAAGCTTGGACAAATTGGAAGAGTCACCAAATATTTTTGCCTCCGAGGCCTCATTGGTTATCAATCCACCAATAAACAAACACCATATGATTAGTTATAGTTCCTTTTAAATTGAATTGAATGTCATAATTTTATAACCTTTCAGAGTTGGTCTGTTTTATCATTCTCTTATAGAAGTACATGTAGTTTTATACTTTCCTGACACTTAACTGTTCATCATTAGCTTGTTGATTGCTTGTTATTCTTTCATATGTTGTATGTAGCTCTTTGATTTTCTTCTAGAGTCCCTTTTAGAATGGATTTTTGATGATGCTATCGAATTTTTGCATGTGTACATATATGGTTAAAGGATTTTTTTTATGCTTCACATGCTTTCAGTGATCCAAAGTGAGGTGTTGTCATGATCTAATATGATCGATTTACTATATACATGATCCTTACTTCTATTTATGAAAGGAAAATTTACTTTATTTTATTAGAAATTTGCTTTATAGAAAGTGATTGGCCCCTCGACAAAAAAAGAAAAGGTGTAATTTGAGAATTTGTTCTTGTTATTGCCACAGTACAATCAACGATAATCCATATATTCTGTCTATTATTGAGGCATCAATTTGTTGTCAAAATCTAGATAACGACATTGCAGTTAACAGATGATCTTGGGTTACAAGTTTCCTCTTATGATCCACCATTTTTCATGATGTGATAACATAAATCAGGATTAGAAATCTCAGAAATCTACTCTTTTCTCCTTCATGCCAGATTTCCTCAGGGTTATGCTTATAAATTAAAGAGGTCTGATCTTGTTGTATTTTCTCTTAATGCTAAAATCATTTATGATGGACCTAAAATTCTTATGGTGTATTTGATATCTGCTAGGAGCTTCTTAATGTTTTTTGAAAAGGTTATGTTATCCTAAAGGAACTAAGATAGGGAGCATTGTACAGAAAGGTCTCTTTTTTTAACAATCGATAGCTTTTTCCAGATAGACCATCAATCCTTTTGGTGTAGTTAGTGTTCATTATAACTTTCTATAATGACTCGACTGGTCGTTTTGAGAATTTACGTTCCGTTTGATGGTTTAAGGTCTCGAGCAGTTTCGTATTATGTGTTATGACGTGCGTGCGTGGTCGAGTTTGAATTTTGGATGATTCGGGATTGATTTGGAAGAAGAATTCTTGTTTTAGAAGCTTAAGCGGTAAGGGTTGATCGGAGTTTGACTTTTGTATAGTTAACTCCGAAATAGAGTTTTGATGGTTCCAATAGCTCCGTATGGTAATTTTGGTCTTAGAAACATGTCCGGATATTGATTTGGAGATCTGTAGGTCATTTCGGCATGAATTGGCAAAAGTTGAAAAAATGGAAGATTTTGAAAAGTTTGACCGGGAGTTGACTTTATTGATGTCGGGGTCAGATCCCGATTCGAAAGTTGGAATAGGTCCGTACTTTTATTTATGACTTATGTGCAAAATTTGAAGTAAATCGGAGTTGGTTTCATATAAATGAGTTTTGGAATTTAGAAGTTCATAAGTTTCTTACGCTTGAATCGATGCGCGATTCATGATTCTATTGTTGTTAGAGGCAATTTGAAGCTTCGAACAAGTTCGTATCATATTTTGGGACTTGTTAGTATACTTGGTTGGGGTCCCATGGGGCTCGAGTGGGTTTCGGATGGGTTTGGATTGTGCCGCGCTCTTATTTGATGTTTCAGTGTCGTTTCTTTTGGCATAAAGGGTATCATACTATGGAAACGACCTTTGATTTGTGATTCGATTGAACCATCAGATCTGTATCGTAATTACAGAACCATAGCAGCAAGAATCGTCGTATTCCGAGGTCGTATGAGAGAGTTATGTCCATTTTCGTGTCTGGAAAGACTGTTATTTTTCTTGTGTTTGAGGGAACAGAGGCAAATCGCAGGTGTCAAATGTGACTTCGGTTCACCATTTTTATCATATTTCGAGTTGTAGACTTCGGTTGACCTGACATTTTATTGAGATGAACTTCGAGCTGCTGAACCGACAACGTGTGTTTCTGCTTGTTTTGGAAGTTTGAGTGAATGCGATCGGCCTCAGAGAAGAGGGGAGGCAACTTGGGATTCTAGGCAAAGTACTTTTTTTTGTATATAGGCCTCTGTATAGGATAAGATCTTCTTCGAACTTGATGCACAAATAGATAGAATAGCAGCAAATAACATCTTTCTAACTTCTTTTTTCCGGTTCTCAAACAACTTGGGCGAAATAGGGTTCTACCGGGAAACCATGTATTTTTGAGTTTTCGCCATTGGTTACTGGTTGAGCCACTGGAATGGAATCAGATAAGAATCCTTGGAGATCTTTCCTCTCCACTTACTCGTAACAGGATTTTCTTCTGTAGAAGACTTCTTCCGAATGACATAATTGTCCGACACTACGTTCCTCGATCTTCAAAGAAAACTGACTCCTCCGACTCCTCCTTATCCTTTAGGATAGGATCCTCCTTGGTCCTTCTTTCACTAATGGTCTCACTATTTTCTAGTAGTAGTATTTCGCGAGGGACTCCCCTTTCTATCGCTTGCCCTTGCCTTTAACTCTCATTTGATCTCTTTCTTCTATAAAACAAAGCGAAGCAAAACGCATGGCAAAAAAGCAGCCAACTGACTGTCCCCTTCCACTCGGCCTTTCCTCGCTGTGTGAATAAGGTCTTAGTCTGTATGAGCATTCTGGGAAGGTCGCAATAAGTCGCTAGTCGAAGGTTTAGACCAGTCACAATTTATCACCATCTTGCCCGCTTCCAATTGATGACTGGCTATTATATAAGTGTTGACCTAAACCCCTGCGCAGGGTCTCGGCTCCCGAACCGTACGTGATCTGTCTCGTACGGCTCTTCCTCAGAACTTGAAACCCCCCCCCCCC